AAAATTTTACCTGTGTTTTCACAATTCGTGTGAAATTTCACTTTCATTTAACTGATTCCATCCTTAGCCCTTGAAAAATGTTACAAAAAAGGAAGGCAATGTTATTCTGATACAAGATTTTTGTCCACTGAAAATTAAAAAGACTCAATTTTCTGTGGGATTCCGTCTTAAGTTCTGTTACAAAATAGCTTTGAAGTTTCGATAAAAGGAGCAAACCTGTGTGAAAGTAACGATTTCACTTGTTGAGTGCCTGCATCAGTTTGAGGAAAAACTCCTGATCTTCTTTTCGTCGTTTCTCATCCCTTTCTTCCTCTCTTCTTTCTCGTTCTTCCTCTGCCTCCCAAAAACGCCTGTCAGCTTCTTGTTGGTAATTCATGAAGGCTTCTAAAGCCTTGTCGACTTTGTTGAAACCATCGGGAGCTGAAAGTCTCCTTTTTTCCTGTGAAGACTTTCTTCTTGTCTTCAGTTTTCTTCGCTGTTTCTGAAAATACAGTGTACTTCATGTAAGGTTCTCTCGGAAACCTCCATTTTCATTGAAAACAAAGCGTTCATTGCTTTATCATTCAACTATTGTTTCGTTGCCCAATAGAATATTCTGTTTTGATATTTTCGTGGCGTCCTTGGGGAAAGGTTTTGTTTTTAACTTTCCTATTATAACTTCCGCTTGCGAAAAAAGAAACGCGTACAGTTTGTACGAGAGAAACAGCTACAAATTAGCTGCCAATACATGTTCCTGACATACTTCAGAAGAACTGCTACTACTACTGTTGTTATCACTGCTGCTGCTGCTGCTGCCCTTCGGGATGATCTCAATATTTTCACTTTCGTCCTCACACGATGATGCCGTCGAATTGATGACAACTTTTGGTTGTGTACTCGGCTCATTGGATAGTATTTTATCCAGCTCATCGAAGAATGGTGGTTTTTTGCTTGGTGTGGCGTCTCCCATCTTATTAAGTTCGTCTTTGTATTGGGGGTATGCCGTTACAAGAGTGTGGAGGCGGGTTTTGCAGGCTTCTCCGTCGCGGTCTTCATATCCAAATGCCATATCGCCAATTTCTTGCCATATTAGCTTTTTCCTAGTACAGGACTTCAGTCTTAGCTGGACGTTTTCGTCTCCCCAATTTTCGAGCAAAAGTCTAGTCTCCCTGTCCTCCCACGTTCTTCCGCGAACTTTTGTTTGGAGCCGCCATTTTGAAGTAGTTTAGTTTCGCGTGAAAGTTAAACTACCTCCTACAGGTTGTTTAGTTAAACACGTTTTAAACATGTTTAGATTGCGTCAGTGCGCGATGTGAACTGTTTTTGTTTTAAATTGAGTTTAACTAAACATTATTTAAACATGTTTAAGGTGGCTCGATTCAGTTTTTCAGGGCCAATACCTCCCAAGTTTGAGCATAAACTACGTCGCCATAAACAAAGTTTTGGAAAAATTGCTACCACAGTTGTATCAGATAAAGATGAAAATTTGTTATGATCAGGGTCGCAACGGCATCGGAGTTGTCATAGCAACGAAATGACGCTATTACCTATTTTACTTGCAGCAGTGTATCTCGGCACTGAGAACTGTTCTTCCAAAATCGTTCACGGGAGCGTTTTCCTCCAATAGCAGCCCGATTTTCGTGAAGTTTAAGCGAAATCTGTAAGAGCGTTATTGAGATATTTTAGGATGAAGTTTTTATAATTGGAAACACACTAAAAAATGGACACTACTGTTGTTTGGCCGTCATCTGTAGAAAATGAAGCGCTTTTGGCATGCAATTTCACCTGTTAGTAGTTTCAATCTTTTTAAAAACGTGTGTGAAGGATCATGGAGATAGCTCCAGCCGATTGCTAGAAAGAAGGGTTTTATTAGTATGTATCGAAGCGCTCTTGTTAGCGGTTCTGTAAACATTTTGGTCTTCTTTAAAAAAATAGCGAATAATTTTTAAACTGCTCGATAGATTTTTTTTAAATTTTAAGATTCTTGAGATTAACCTTTCTTTTATGACCCTTTAGCTTCAAGATTATTGATACATTGTAAGGCAGTAAAATAAGGGCTACAACTCGTTACTTTTTATCGGAAGTTTCGTTATTACAAGTGAAAGCCTCTCATTATTCAAGGCATTGTCTCCAAGTTTCATTTTCACGTGAACAACAGTAACTAACAATGCATTTGACATATGCAAAAATGCTAGCTATTGCTATTCGCGAAAATATGAAACTTGGAGACAATACCCTGAATAATGAGAGGCTCACATTTGTAAACACAAAATTTCTGCAAAAATATTGGCGAATTGTAGCCCTTATTTTACTGCCTTACAATATATCAATAATCTTGAAACTAAAGGGCCATATAAAAGGAAGGTTAATGTCAAGAATCTTTTTTTTTTTTTACGAATCTATCGAGTGGTTTAAAAATTATTCGCCAATTTGTTAAAGTAGACCAAAATGTTCAAAAACCGCTAACAAAAGTGCCTCGATGCATACTAATCAAATCCTTCTTTCTTGCAATCGGCTGGAGCTATCTCCACGGTCTTTCACACACTTTTAAAAAGATTGAAACTACTATCAGGTGAAATTGCATGTCCAAAGCGCTTCATTTTCTACAGATAACAGCCGAACATCAAGATTATCCATTTTTTACTGTATTTCTAACCACAAAATCTTGATCCCAAAATATCTGGATAACGTTCTTACATATTTCGCTTAAACTTCACGAACATCGAGGCGGCTATTGGAGGAAAAAGCTCCCGTGAATAATTTTGGAAGAACAGTTCTCAGTGCCGAGAAATACTTCTGTAAGTAAAATAGGTAATAGCGTCATTTCGTTGCTATGACAACTCCGATGTCATTGCAACCTTGATCATAAAAGATTTTCATCTTCATCTAATACAACTGTGGGGGCAATTTTCCCAAAACTTTGTTTATGGCGACGTAGTTTATGCTCAAACTTGTGAGGTATTGGCCTTGAAAAACTGTATCGAGCCACCTTAAGTGTTGGTGTGAACGGGGTATTAGCTGTTCCTCGTAGGAACCTTTTAAAAGTTGGGCCTGCTGAGGCAAGGTCAGGTTTTCTTCTGGGGTAGTCCTGTTGTCAAATTTTTTCCGGTAATCCTCAACAGCTAGTTTAAAGCCCTCATCAAGAAAGGGGATGTCTTCATCCAGACTGGGATAAGTCAAGCAAGTTTCACTTTTACATTCAGTGTCACAAATTTTAGCTACAATGCTAAAAATACATTCCGGATTACTTGTACAATCAGGAAATATGAATGTACAAAATTGAAAACAGAATAATAAACTAAAACAAGTACTACAAACATGTTTGCTGTTTCTGCAAACAAAAACATGAGTGAACAATGTTGATAACAGTGACATAAAATACACCATATGAACATCTGGAGTTCCAGCTGTGAAATTTGACTTTCAATGAATCATTGGCATTATTCACTTAGAAAGTCACTCTAACACTTATGATGTTACAAAACAATGACAAACCTGCACATTGGTTGTTGCAGTAAACAGCGATTTTTTGTCTCTTCTGTGTTAGGTGGCCTTGCTTGTACAGGGAACATTTACACGGGCCTAAGTGTGCATGAATCGGGGAATCATCAAACTCAAAACGGGGTGCAGTGTTAATTAAAAGATCAAAGGAGACGAAAAAAATTAGGATACTTCTATCAAGGTTGCTGCTACCTTTGCTGCCAAAAAATAACTTGGCCATTTCATACATGTTAACATAACTGTCTCCCACGTACACTGTATATTACAATGGTGATAGATTTAAAGATTCATCTTTCTTCAAGTTAAAAAATGAAAATGGGATACGAGAGCATGAAGAAGGGGACAGCAACTCCCTTGAGTGAGACAAACATGAAAGGACTATTGCTTGCATGTTTATTTGATCTTCCTTAACATTAATTTTCTCTGGTCTTTTTTCAAAAAGAACTGTTCAAAGAAGTCGAAGTTTGATGGAAAAATTTCCGTTAATATCATGCTTGTCTCATAAGGTTTGCCGTCCGCCTTCCTTTCCCTTCCTGTTACGTACTGTAAGTTTACTCATATTTGTAGAATGGATAAAAAATTGTAAAAAGATAATGAAAACATTCCAAAGGCATCTTACTTTAAGTGGGTTTCGAATATCCTGAGCATTGACACCACTCTACATAGGTCCAGCTAGGAGTTTCTGCATACGTTCAGGAAACTCTGTAACCATTGTTTCATGCCACAATTTAAAGTCTTCGGGTTCTTTTATCTGTTTGAAATTAAAAACAAAAAACGTAATTAGATAATATATCAAGCAATAACTGACAGGTGATTAATAACAAAACAGCAGAAGTAACACATTGCACTTTTTATTGTCAGATAGGTTCCGATGAAGCAGATGAGAAGTAAAACTGCACTCAACCGTTATTAAGAGGAACCTCCCTAAATTTCTCGCATTAGCATCTACATTGTAAGCGAAGAAAAATACCCTGCTGGCACAGATAAGCTCGTATAAACCTTAAAGGTGAACATGTCAACAAGAAAGAAATCTAATAACATGATTTATACCTGCATGACATTTGTACATGTAAAAAATTCAATGCAGTTCTCAAGTAAACCAAATGGCATCCTGTTAATAGGGATTGATGGTCCAGACTTGTCAGGTCTGTCAAATGCCAACACTTTACAATATTTATAAACCAGATTACTCTTTCCATTGGCTTCAAGTCTCTTCATGGCAGCAAGAGACGTCTGCACAAAATTCTTCGGGTATACAGACAAGTCATCCATGATTTATATAACAATATCCATATCATCTACATTCTTCAAGAAGGCCAATAGAACATTGCTAACTGTAGCAGCTAGTGCATTTCCACTTGTCTCTTTTACAAGGCACATCAAACCCTCCACTATTAAGTCAGAGACTTGGCTATTTGTCAGGGACTTCATATGTCCTGATAACGAAGAAGACAATCTTAGATACTGGAACTCACCAGGCGGACTGGCCAAAGCTGGTGACGTTTTCAACAAGTATGATTCTATGCTTCAGAGATACACTTGAACGTCTTTTTCAACTCCCCTAGGACTTGCTGTCGAATACTGCTACCTACATGAATAATTACAAAAATTATTGGTTTGCTAAAAATGGTAAAACAAAAACTGTGTGTCATATAATTATTCTTTAAACACATTTTTCTAACCCCTTTTAAGTGCATACATGTCAATCATACAGAATGGGTTTCCCTTACTGACATGATATTAAGTAATACTTTTCCAATTAGCTTTTAAGTACATACATGTCAATCATACAGAATGGGTTTCCCTTACTGACATGCATGATATTAAGTAATACGTTTCCAATTAGCTTGCTTCAAAAAGCAATACTGACGTACTTCCTGGAGTGGTTTATTTTCAAAATTTGTGAATAAGAACCTTTGGGGTTCTGTAGGGGGAATAAGAACCTTTCGGGCTTTGTTGGGGGAAATATCATTAAAGCAATAGGCATTAGTGGTATTTAGCTCATTTCTGAATAAATACATAAAATCTGCAAACCAATTCATTGCAGTTAAATATAAGGTATCTTTGTTTACAAAGGGAATCCTGAATACTTGAATGTTGAATAAAGGTCATTTTAATACATCTTTCTCAGTTGGTCAAGTGTATGTAGAGTTTTTTTATATAGATATCATATAATTGCACATTTTAGAAAGCAACAGATGGTGCGTAAAAAAGGCAAATCAAGCAATCTTTATACAAAAATCACCTAACGTTTTTGCTTTTGGCTTACCGGATCTCGGATACTTAGTTCCTGCAGTTTCTTGAACGAAAGTTGCTGCTTTGTTCCAGTATTCATGGCGACTGCCAAATGAGGGCCACTCGGTTCCTTCAGGTTTTAAATCCTCGAATAATGCGACGACCTGTACTAACGCTACTTGTTCTGCCAGCTGCCAGGGATAAGATATTTTGTGGACTGATGGCAATTGCTTGGGACTTTTAGGGGATCTCACTAGCTTTTTGAAGGATACGTCGGGAAGCCTAAAACAAACAAAAATTACCATAGGCTCTAAAGCTATTCATAAATTGATTTCATTTACATATCAAAGACTACAATATATATGTCAAAGAATATTGAATAACTACCGTTTGGATTGGGTTTAAATGCTGGAAACCCAGACTCCGTCGTGCTGGTGATTCTGTCTCATCTCAGCTGCCGTCTCGAAGTTTTACATACATACATACATACATGCATATCCTTTATTTAAACACGATATGGTTTAAAGCTCAAAGTTTGTGGGGTCGTGTATAAAGCCGGCTGGCTTGTTTGGAGTGTTGCCGGTAGCCACGTATGATCGCTTTTGCGAACTATCCAAATCCATTTTTACAAGAAATATAACTGAAACAACGAAAAGGAGTAAAAAATCAAGTTACAGCGTGATATTTAACATCTGACCATAAAGGTTCTGAGAACAAACTATACAGAAAGTGGCGCGAGCTTGGCGGGCTTCGCTCGTGAGAGAAATTGACACCTTCGAGTCGTGTCATGGTGAAGAACAGACTGAAAAATGCGATTTTTTGAGACGGTCAAACACATGGAAATCGCGAGGTTGAAGGAGGTCGGTGCACGGAAACAATAACTTGCAACGCTTTTCTTCCTATCTAGATACTCTTTTTTTGCAAAACCCCGGTACAAAAGATGTACTTACTGTATAATTGAAAGTCGGTCGGCCATCTGTTTACCGTCGTGGAAAAATAGGCTCAGAAAACACAACTCTAAATGAGAGAAAAAAATCATTAAATGAGTGAAAAAACAGTTCATCATGTCAACGGAATTTCAATGATTAATAATTAAAGTAGAAACTAACCTTGCAGAATCGAAAAAGACAAAATCGAGCAGACCAAAATTTGCTTCTCACCATGAAAGCGCACTATCCAACCAAGAGGAATAGTGTGAAAATAGAGGTAAAGCATCATGGGATACACAAGAAGAAAAATAAGTTTAAGTGGACGTTTAAGTTCCTTAAACCCAAATTTTAATTTAACGTAAACCCAGCTTAAAGTAGCTTTAGGGCTAAAGTTTAAGGTAGGTTTAATCAGCTGTTTAATTGTGTGAAACGCCTTGTTTTGGTTGCATTAAATCAAGCTTAAATGTGCTTGAAACGTTTAGTTTAAGAGGGAGCGTACTATAAAACCATACTTGAAGGTTTTAGCTAAAAATAATCAATCTTAAGTATGCCCAAAACTTGATTTTTAAAGTCAAAGGACTTGAACTTGAATTGTTAATTGGACTTCAGAAACTACAGTTTAAACTAATCGGCTGGTTCCAGCGGGCTCAAGAATGGTAGGGCCCTGATGACTTTGTCTGGTACTATTTTATGAGTTACTGCTCCCGAAAAGTTAAGTAGTTTTCAAAATCCTTTTGGAAAAATGAAATTAATCTATCCCTTTTAAGTCAATCCCTTTCCCTACACAATGAAGACAAGCAGTTTTTTCCGCGTTCAACTCACTTTATTTTATTTAATAGAGATGGTTACAATTCTCTTTTAAAAAATTACTAAAACGAAATTCATTGGCCTTTGAAAATACAATGTGCACATAATTTTAAGAAAACACTAAAACAGAAATCTAAATATATTTAACACTAATAACGACAGCATAAAGAATTGTAATTGGTAAAACTACCGTCTCTAATACATTTCTTACGGTTCAAAACTGTTCATTTCTTCCGGTAGTACCGGACACCTTTACAAGACAAACACCTCGGTAAGACGAAAATCTAGAGTTGGTCCCTGCTTCTCTACTCTCTTTATTCGACAGACAGCTAGTTAGTAATGCCAGTCCCAAAGGTGTCTGTCTTACAGAGAGTTGATTTTATAATTATAAAATAAAGTCCAGGTAAAAATACCTGTTTCTTATATTAAAAAGATGTCTAAATCCATTTAAGGAAACACCAACACTAAAAAGCAAATGCCTCATAGGTTTGTTTGGTGGGCTATTAACGCTTGCCAAAGGAAACAAAACTTATGAAATAACTGTACTGTGGATTGAGTGCATGTATTTATCAATAATACCACTAAAAAAATTGTAAACAGCAAAAATCTGACATAATATTTAAACAATATGTATTAAATAATCATTATTGAGAGCTTGAGAATTTGGAAAAGTTTAAGTGTAATCAATGACTACAGCTTGCAGCTTGTTTTCTACAGTTAACCAAATATCAGTTGAACCTTGATTAATATCTCAAACAAACTTTTTGGTTATCCCAGATTTCTCAAATGAATATTGCAAACTCAAGCCTGATTTTCTTTCTTCAAGTCCCTTTCTCACCCTATATCACCCTCAAACCTGGGCTTTGCCAATGCTTTGGCATGAGGGGTGAGGCTTCTATAATGGGCTCTGTCAAGCTTGCTTTTTAAGTTTGTTAGGGCTGTTCTCTCCCAAGAGAGCTTCTTGGTTAAATAACCCTTTAGTTTCTGTGTTACTTCACCAGTGATGGGATCTTCCTCATCTTCATAGGCAGACTCCTCACTGCTCACGTACTCGACATAGAGCACCTCTGGGGCAAGCTGCTTCTGGCTCAAGGGTAAGGATTCTCTTATAAGCTCAAAAGCCCCACATCGCCTGTCCAGCTTCTAATAAAAACATAAAGAAGGACAAAAATCAAACTAAATAATGGTGTTGCAGTCCTTCAATAATAAATATAATCTATCTATTCATGTTTGTAATGATGGAATTTGTTCAAGAAAGTAAAAATAAAATAACTAAGGATAAAAGTGGCCTCACCCATATACAGTTAAGATCAGGAAAAAAAACAATGTATCACTGACAATAAATATCATTATGGCATTATAAACATATTATACATTGTTTTTCATGAGGACATGAAAAATTGTCCAGTACATACAGGTGTCCCTATTAATGGGATACCACTGCATTTATAATTATCAAAAAAGGTTTTTATATTTGACCATGTTCAGATGTTTGAAAAAAAAACTTCCTTATACTTACACTTGTGAGACGTCTACTCATTTTGCACCTCTGCTTGTGCTCTTCATTTTTCCCTTTTTTATTCTTTGACATTTCTCCTTTACCGTTCTGAAGTAACGAAGGAATTGAGCTGTTGACGTAAAGACCAATAATTAGCAAAAAGAAATTTTAAAGTAGGCAACATTTTATAAAAGACCTGCTGAGATTTCTTCAAATCTAAATTTAGCAACTGCCCCTAGGGTTAAAAAGGAACTAGTACATGTAAGTGTACATAACTTTTACAGACGAGAACTTGATTCCTTAGCTAAATAAAGGCAGTGTTATTTTCGCAACAAGGGAAGAGAAATTTCGTATCTCCAAGCGGCCATGTAATATTCTATGTATTATATAAACACCAATGAACTACCAAACCATTTCACTTTTAAAGTTTGTGAAAGATTCAGATTTCTTCAACAATTTGGCAATTTTGTTTTTGGACTGAATGGCCAGACGAAGATAAAAATAGATGCCTGAGCTCTAGCACAAACAGCGTAGACCTTCAGTTTCAGGAAGGAGTAGAGAAAATAAGAGAAAATGTTAAAAATACCAAAATAGAAAACTGCAAAATAACAAAGATGGGGATAAGAAGTGTATGGATAACTACCGTCCCATCTCCGTTTTACCGGTGGCTTCGAAGATCCTTGAAAGAGCCGTGCAAATACAGCTCCTCCAACATTTAGATAAGTCCAGTCAGCTATCTCCCTTCCAGTGTGGTTTTCGAAAAAAATCATTCTACCCAGGACGCGGTTACATACTTCACGGATTGTATTAGGAAAGACATTGACGAAGGTTGTGTTACAGCAGCGGTGTTTGTCGACTTTCGAAAAGCCTTCGATAGTGTAAATCACCAACTTCTCCTAAACAAACTGCCTGGGTATGGTATCAGCAACCATGAACTGAGGTGGTTGAAGAACTATCTTACGAGTCGATGGAAATCTGGCGTCCCGCAAGGGTCCATACTTGGTCCGATTTTGTTTTTTTGATTTACATCAATGACTTGCCCAACTGCTTACTTCAGTCAAAGATGCTACTTCATGCGGACGATGCTGTCTTTTTCAACCCTCACTCCAATATCGGAAACATAAGTACCATTTTGAATAAAGATGTATAACAGTTGCAGTCCTGGACACTCAACAACGAATCGCTTCGGCTTCCCTTTCAGATGGGCCATTTAGCTTATTCCTTGGGGATGAACCGATAAATCAAGCACAACATTACAAATACCTTGGTGTGCTAATAGATGCAAATCTCAATTTCAAACAACACGTGGATAAGCTACTGGTTAAGATTTCCAAGAGCATTGGTGTCCTCGGAAGATTTTGAAACAATCTAACTGTTGATGCAGCCAATAAAGTTTATCAGTCTCTTGTTCTGCCGGTTATGGATTATTGCGATGTTGCTCGGATCAGCATTGGGAAAATTGAATGTGATAAGTTAGATCGAGCACAAAGAGGGGCTGCTAGGAATGGTTTTGAAGACCAAAGATTCAGACACCGAGAAGAATTTAAAGTGGCTTCCCTTGTCTATGAGGCGTGATATGCACACTATTAATTTGACTTTTAAATGCTTGAAGGGATCCCCTCCAGCGTTTTTTAAGGATTATTTTAAGGTTTTTAGAACAGTCCACAACACGAGGGGAAGTGGGCACAACTTGCTGCTCCCCAAAGTCAGAACCGAGACGGCAAGGAAGTCTTCTTAGTTTAATGAATCTAAACTTTTTAATAATATTGCAAGTAAAATAAAGGATTCTAAGTCAGTTGTGATTTTTTAAAACTTGTATTTTGGAATGATATAGATCAAAAGTTTTTTAATTACTTGTTAAGTTTTTGTATTAGTTTAGCTTTTAAATGCATTTTAATTGCTGTATTTTAGCTTTTTTAAACAATTTTTTAATCTTGTTGTATTTTAACTTTCAGTGTATTTTTAGTTACTGTAATTTAGGCAAGTTATATATATATATATATATATATATATTTTTTTTTTATTTGATTTATTGACTTATTTATTTTTTCCAGGGCCCTCATTGATAGCAGCATTTTATGCTGAAGAGATAACCCTGGCTAAATAGCATTTATTATTACAAAATGGGCGGGAAAAGTATGGTGGGAAAAAACCTCGTGTACGTGTAAAGTTGGGGCAAAAATTTAAAACATTTATAATTTCTTCAAATTTTAGTTTGAAATTGTTTTGAACGGTTATTTAGGTAAATTTCTTACCTGAATCAGTTTAAATTTGCCTAAAGAAGCATTAAATGCTTTGCACAAAATACAATTTACAATCGGAACGAACTTTTGGAACACCCTTTAGAGGGGGGAGGGAAAAAGAAGGGTGGGGCGGGCTAGACTTTTTATAAAGCAGTTTAAGAGGATCAGCAGTTCGATCGAGGTATAATTTTAGAAGGGTTCATTGGCCAAGATGGGTAAAGCAGTCAAATAGTACACCAAACAATATATGTGAAACAGTAATGGTAAATTGTGCACTTTTATGCTAATCCTATTTTCGTTTAAGCACCACTATTTTTTACAACTTAGTCATTTGAATTTGACAGAAATTCTGTTTGCACTGAAAACTTTATTGTTTCAAATTTTAGCTATAAAAGAATCCAGACCTATCGGCTTTAATATTTGGTTTGACTGAATTCTCTTTTAAAAAAAATGCTTGTCACTGGGCATACTGTATTTCGCGGACTGGACTGGACTGGACTGGACTAGTAAAACGCGGACTTGTAAAACGCGGACTCAAAATTTGTAAAACGCGGACTCAAAATTTGTAAAACGCGGACTCAAAATTTGTAAAACGCGGACTCAAAATTTGTAAAACGCGGACTCAAAAATTTGTAAAACGCGGACTAGAAATAAAAATAAATACATAAATAACTAAAATATTTGCTTTATTAAATGAATATATCTCTTCTTATATAAAACGTTCCGAATGAAACGTCAACAGGAACATAATCTGATGTCATAATCATACAGACAACAATTCAATTGCCGGATATTATACTATCCACTTTAAAACATTACTTCAAACAAAAAAACTTTAACATGTGATGTCATAATCCCGGCTCACAGACAACAATTCAACTAGACCATAGCGGCAAGCCTTTCGAAAATTACTTGCTTGTGTTCGGGTAGAAGAAAAGGCTGTAGATCCGACGGTATTCTGCATGAATTTGGTTGAAAGGCAGGGAAGGTTACCCTTATGCAATAAGGGTTAACATGATAATATACCGACGAAATATCTGGAGATGTGTGTTGACGTCCTTTTTAAATACTGACGGCGAAGTCGTGTTGTCAAAACGAGGTCATCGGGTGGAGGTGGATTGGTCCCGCCTGGCTTCAGGGTGTCGCCACAGCCATAGCATCGCGTGACTTTACTGTCGAGGAAAGATAATCTGGCAAACACTAAAATTCCTGGTAAGGGCTTTGGACGCTTTGGGGTTGGAGGCTGTCCGTTGGCTTGCTGGTAAGGTTGATTAGATGAGATTGAGGGACTAGTGGAGTCCGAGGCACGTTGAAACTGTTACCCAGCTGAATGTGAGGCAAAGGCGACACTGGCGGCCAAGGTGGGGTGTTTTGGTCAATTGCAGATGGGCATGAATCATTGACGGGTGCGGATGTAGGCTGCAATACCCGATTGCGAACAATGTTCCTATCAGTTGAGGATTTATTGCTTCCACCTTTCCGCTTCCTTGTTCCGGTTTTTGACCAGCATTGTTAGGCATGTTCACGTTTGCAAGGCCTGACAGATTAGGAGAACGCTTTCTGCTTTTGAACCATTTAAGGAACTCCTTTAAAGCCCCCTCTTTCTCCGCTACTGCTAGGGTGTGTGAACACAAACTGTACGTGGACCAGCTTACACACCCTTTATCACACTGCACCTTGCCAGTTTTGGGATAAACAAGGACAGTGTGAGGCTCACGTGATGTTTGGCTGTGAACCATGTATCTGATTGGGCATGAGGGGTCACCTCCTTCACCAGTTGGCACTTTCCACAGCGCGGACGGATCTTCCACTGTCGTAGCAGCCTTGCTGAACATCCCCTTTAGCACTGGGTAGGGAATATCAATAATCTGGGCATTTTCAGCAGTTATGGATAACGTTGTATCTGTGGCGGCTCCTTGTTCTTCTGAATCTTCGTTTCGTAACCTTGACATGGATGATGAGAAGAATTTCTTCTTCAGGGCGTCCTTCTGCTTGTGACTCATTCTATAGAAGCCCTTCTCGTCGATCCCAAGGAAGGAGAAATCTTCAGTTAATCGGTATTCCCCTCGACCAATGACTGCGAGGAACTGCTCGTCTTGTTGCCTCTTAACTTCGCCTCTTATTCGCTCTATGGAAGGGGGAAGCCCGTCTGGTTTCTTTGCAAGCTTGGCATCTTCGTCCGCTTTCACTAATCTGTTCATACTTTCACTTGCGTTTTGTGTATATACCTTGGGCGGAAACCCAAGGCCACACATCGAGCGAATGTCGGCCGTTGCACTTTCCCGAATAACTTCCGCGTTCTCTTTTAAAAATACGTTGTAAATTGATCACCATTCTTGTGCAAGCCTGGCCATTTTCGTTTAACATTGTTCAATGCAATGTCGAACTCGGCACCTGAAGTGCAGTCAACTAGTCCACCCTCAGTCACTTCTCCAAGTACCTTTCCAAAAATATCACAGACAATTTCGTCGGCCACACTTCCTGATATTCCAAGCTCACTCAGTTTTCGTTTGACATTGTCCCTCAGGTGAATGTCACAACGCAAATGCTTTGCGTCTACAAAGACTTGCGACATGGCCTTAAAGAGGTTTTCCTCTCCATCTGTTCCGTAGGCTAGAACACCACTAGTGTCTTTGTTGTACTTTGTCATTAGGAGAGGCAAAGTCTTGTATGATGTTAGAAGCTTTTGTTTGTGCAAAATGCCGGGTCCTATGCAGACAGGGTGGACTCCCTTGTTAGTAGTTAACATCAGGTTGCGATAGGTGGTAAAGGTGTAGTAATAGTCGGCAATCTGAAAAGTACAGTCTACTCCCAAGATGCAGAACGCTTCAGGATTGGTGCAGAATCGCACTACATCAGTTAACTGCTGGTCGGTGGCGAGAAAAAACTATCGGCTCTGGGAACAAGGGGATTTCTCTGATAAAGAGGTTTTCTCTCAATCCTTGCTGTTCTTCCTTCGCCTTTGCCAACACCTGTAGAAGGGGATCGCCAGTGGAAAGGGGTACATCAACCTTCTGGCGCTTCGCTTGTCTGTTGATGTTGTACACCTGATCCCTGTTTCTTGGAAATTCGCCTGCAGACTCGACTTGCATGATTCCCCCTCGTTCTTCGACAACCGAGTGAATGACTCGACGAGGGGGATGTTCTTTTAACTTGTCTTGCACAAATTCTCGGGTGCTCTGCATGGTTCTTTTAAAAGGACGTGGTGTTGATCCTTTAGAGTTCCCATGGCTCTTGATGTTGACTTCTTGTTCGCCGTCTGTAAACATATATTGAACAATTGCCAAATCGTGAGGCGATGTTGATGTAGCCCGATGTGCAGAGATTATCGACTTTCGCAAGGAGGGTAAGCTTTTATTAGTGAAAAACTGGCGTTGCACTATATGCAACACGTGGTCAGGTGGGCAGTCATCTTTGTCCTCTAATCTGTGACAAATTCCAGAGTTGTCTGTGGAATACGGAAACTTCTTTGAGCCTGTACACAACCAAGCGCCAAGGTCGTCGCACTTTACATCAGCTTTATTTGACAGATTCGACGTGTCCACAACAAAGACAGTGTTTTTAGATATATTTGTTGGGACACGCGTCGCCATTAATGTGCGATCAGCAAAGGGTTTTAAAAGAATTTCAGCCGCATCATCAGTATTCATCCCTTTGGTTAGGCCCCACTTGTAGACTGGTAGACGTTGGTCTCCGTCATAGAATTTTATGTCCGCGATAGGGCCAAGAGGCAACTCCTCCTCGTCACTTTCGTTTCTCTCACATTCATGGGTACTTCTTCAGTACCTGAAAATTACAATAAAAAGTTATATACTGTATTATTACAATTTTAAATAAAAATAAAATACAGGCAAGCCACCAACATATGTATGAATACATGCATGTATGCAGAAAAGAACGAAAATTAGAAAAAAATTACTACTTCACTCCTTTTCCCAAAGTTGGCGCGGGTATATAATGAGCGTAGAATGATCCACATTTCTACGATTTTGTTGTCTAGTAAAATTAAAAAATCTAGGTTCTTGGAAACTCAACATCATAGTACATTCATCCACGCTTTCGAGAGATTCAAGGAGAATGTCTTCAGAGGTAGACATAGGAGTCCACAAAGGTTAACCACCAAGTTCACTTACGCCCAGGTGCGCAGGTTGTTTGTAGAAAGGGTGAAAAACAATGTGTACCTTATATTTGATTATTTAAAACAATTTAAATTTGGATATACACTGTACCTTTACGCGTACTCTCAGATGACTTGTCTACACCTCCAATGTCTCCTTTTGGATAAATATGTTTTACTTTCTGAAATTAAACAAACCACATTTATTAGGTTGTCCTTAGGTATATACAATCAAACACTTAACGTTCGATTGTGTTCGATAACTCAATAGATTATCTGTGATTGCGTTTGGTAACTCCTTGGAATATCTAACTCAATAGAACATTTGATAATTATAGAACATAGGCAGTCAAACTTGTTAAAACGTTAACTTGCCGAAAAAAAATCGAAACTGCATGCTTTGGTTCGGTGTCATTAAACTTTGTTAGCGATGTCTGTTTAGTGTATAAGACGTTATAAGAGAAGAAACGCACTGGATGCGGTAATTTACAATCATTGTCTACGTAGTATTTTAATGATTCTGCCTTTATTATTGTGCTGATACTGCGAGAGCTTTTTCCCTTTTTCAGTCTGTGCACTTACTGTAGGCAAAGGTTCCTCATCGCTTGTTGCTTCAAGATCAATCACGATAGTGCCGCGCTCCTCATTGTCAACATTTTGGCCACAAACTGTAACATCGGCATCTCCATTGTTAACAGCAGCAAATTCATGTTGGTCATCTGTCACTTGTTTTCTTCCTTGTTTCGACATTTTCGTTCCTAGAGGGTGATCTCCAGTTCCTTCAAAAAGAAATGTATGTTTCCGTTTTTTTGTTTTTTTGTCAGTGGTTTATCGCTAAAAAAAATATAATTTTCAATTTTGAATCCAATAAAAGCTTTGCTTTGTTACGGTAATACAGACATACCGAAGAGAAATACTTAGATATTTGTACATTAGGTTACTACGACTCGCTCGAAATCTTGCAAAGCCGCGATAACCTCACTTTCTCTAGCTCTGAAATAGGCCTGTTTGGCAATTAGTTGAATAATAAAACGGTTTTCCTACTCGATCGTGCTCGATCGTGCGCAATATCTTCTAATTTTAAGCAACTCGACCTATTAGTTTTAATTATAAAGAATCTATCTTTAATCAATGGCGGATCCAGATTGCGGCCCGTTTAGGCCACTTCTCAAGATGCACCATTGCTTGCAATAGTATTCTGAATGTCGGGTTGCACTATATTACAATCAGCAGGTTATTGTGCAATTTTTACCCAACCCAAACATCCTCATTGTAAAGCAGTTTTTTAAACAAAGTTTAAATGTCTAACCTGAAATTGGTGTTAGCCAAGCCAAACTCTGAAGTTCCTTTTCCGATGCCCCCGCTTTGAGTAGTCGGTTCAGAATCCATTGGACAAGTAGTTTACAGGATCGAGGACTGCAGTCTGGTGTCACTAACAAAAGACCATTGCAGTTCCCTCCAAGATCTTCAGAAACAGGATGAGTGTCAACCAAGAACAGAGCATCTTTGTGCTTTCCCACTGAGAATATGTAAGGGTGACATGTGTAAATGGCAACGGCGCTTTCACTCTGATCTAGCTTCTGTGTTAGTGCATTGATCAGCTCGGTTCTGCCATTATCTGAAAACACGGTGTTTGACGAGATGCACTCTTCTGATAGTTCATAGTCGGAAGACAAGATCTTAAGTTCCTTCAGTTTTAGTTTTGCTTCAGACACGTCATAATACTGATCAAATTTTCGGTGTTCGTTGATCATCCTTGGTAGATTAATGATAGTGTCCTCAGCGATTTGTTTGACGTCATCCCACTGAACATCGCTTTTCTCGTTAACCTTAAAGTAATAATAATTATATTAACTGGAGAATTATACAGATGCATATTGAATGAATGAATGAATGAATGAATGAATGAATGAATGGATACAGTTGTGAACCGATATTCGATTAACAAACTAACTTACATTAACCAAATGTAGAACTGAAAGACCGCGATCCAGCTTTTTCCCCATATTCCTTGTAAATTATAATAAGCAGTAGTGTTTAACTTTTCTAATCAATTATTGTAAACCCAGTCCCCCTCAAAATTGGAATTTTCTATATATTTTGTATTGTAACAACATTTTAATTCTGAATCAGTGAGCTGCGAGAATGTGAGAAATAAACATATTTAATATTATTATTACTATTATTATTATTATTTAATTGTAAGCATTTTATAGAGTTGAGAATAAAATAATTATTTTTAAAAAAAAAAATAGTATTATTATTATTATTATTATTATTATTATTATTATTATTATTATTATTATTCGCGTCTAATTTTACCTCGTTCAAGAATCTGTCGCAAATGGTTAGGGCAAGGAACGCACAGCAGTTGGTACCGTCATCCTGTGGTGTCTGGGCAGAGCTCTGATTCACAGACAAATTCATCAAACGTAGAGATGCCTCCGGTTGATTAGTATCTAGGAGCCTAAGAACTTCAGCGGCAGTCGGTCTTGATTCTGGGTCAAATTGTGTGCATAATTTGAAGACGTCGTCAATTTGCCACCACTGAGTTGTCCGGAAAGACTCGTATTTGACGTCAGGACGGGGTAGCTTCTGCTGTCTCAAGGTATTTCTCAAAGCCTTTTCCGAGAATGGGACACCAGAAGCTTCAAATTCAGCACGATATGGATTAGAAAGATTTGGATTTATCATCGAGAACATCATGAGGCCTAAAGCCCAAATATCAGCCTTTTTAAGGTCCTCCTGACCAGCGAACTTTAGATCTTCTAATAGGATCTCTGGTGCCATAAATACGGTGTGCCACGGCAAGGTGATTCCGTCTTGGCTTTAAAAATGTGCTTGTCTGCATGTCAGGGGAACGACTCAAACCAAAATCTGCAAGTTTGCAGACAATGGGGCATTCAGCATAGGATTTGGCCAGATCCACATCATTCTGTTTGCTGTAATGTTGATTGCAGACCAAGGTGTTCCCTGGCTTTAGATCTCTGTGCGATATTGTTCTTGTGGAGAAAGTCCAATCCGGAAACAACGTCCCGCACACAGTAACAAGACATCTGCGAACGACGTAAAGTCGAATTCCGCATCAACGAAATGTAAAAATCTTCAAGCGAATTTACCTGTTTTTAACTCCCAACGGATTGAAGTCAAAACAAGCATGCTCCATCATTATGGCGTAGGGTTCTCGGCAAAATCTTAAAAACTCAGTCACATTTCTATGGCCTTTCACGGTTTTTAGGATCGCCGCTTCCTTCTCGAATCGACGTCTTGCTTCAGCCGATTCACCTTTCATTTTTTTTCACAATAACATTTCGACGGTGTTCTTTCTCGTATTTGACAAGGTAAACTGAACCAAACGTACCGCTTCCGAGCTCCTTCTCTACAGTTACCTCACTCCATTCGAACTCAGGAAACTGTGTTTTTGGTTTTGGCCTTTTAGCGAGCGATGGAAGCTTAAAACAAGCCGCCATCTTCGCGCCGCCACGTGAAAATATATTCCGAATTTTGGCGCGATTTTACTGCTCAAAGGTCAACAAAGGTCAACAGCCTCGTTTCCGTTGTCGATGTCACTTAATCCAGTGTCACGTAATGACAATAAAAATTCAAAATCTTATGCTTCAGGTGTGGAGGCTGGGAAAAAGGCTAAAATAAAATATAATATGAAGGAGTGAATGCTGCGTGCGTCAGGAGCCCATAAATAATAGGCTCTTGGTGCGTGTAATAATGCGTGACAAATTTTGGCCTTCCCTTAACTGGGGCTCCTTCGGTACCTTTTTCGGGCCTGTAAAACTGTTTTGGGCTTGCTCAATTGCATTTAAGATATCGATGGTGTGTTAGTTTTGAAAGTAACACAACAAACTATAACCTAGTCCCGAAACAAAATAGACTGGTTTGCAAGCTACGACCCCCGAGCTACAACCCAGCGGGGGATGTGTACTCGAAACGTTCATGACGGGGGTCTGACTTTATTTCTTTTCTTTTATTTTTTTTAGGGGGATTAGAAATGTGGGGTTAGAAATGTGGACTCCCGGAATTTTTTTACAAATTTTGAGTCCGCGTTTTACAAATTTTTGAGTCCGCGTTTTACAAATTTTTGAGTCCGCGTTTTACAAATTTTGAGTCCGCGTTTTACAAGTCCGCGTTTTACTAGTCCAGTCCAGTCCAGTCCAGTCCAGTCCGCGAAATACAGTATGCCTTGTCACTGCAGTAGCCCAATCGCAGCCCAAAATGATAGTGACGACAACTTCATCTAATTCATTTTAATTTATTATGTAAGAAGTACTAGCGATGACAGCAGTGGTTCCTGTTCAACAGACAACAAGAAGTGGACAAAAACTGTACACCGCTCTACGCGATTCGCTGATTTCGTTATTCCATTGTTATCTAAAGTAACTAATCATCCTATGATTAGTATGTTACATGCATTCTAATAATTACTTTGTACAGGATGTAAGAGGAGATGTGAGGTGGGGGGGGGGGGTCATCACGTAAATATTGAATACGGAAGGGGGAGTGACTTGCCACTTAGATGGTCTGCAGAAGGAAGGGGGCTTATAATTTTGATCTTTCCAACATATTTTTGCTTCCACCTCCCCCCTCCCTCTACATAAATAATGACCGGTCCCTAAATTGCTAAAGAGGAAAAGCCAAATTTTTTTGAGGGGGGGCACCCTTTTAATTTCAAGAAATCTTTTTTTCTTGCAGCCGGTTCTTATAAATATTAAAATTAATAACCTTAATGATTTTCATTTTAAACTCTGAATTATCGTTATAATATGTAATTTGTAATTTCAAATGTGTAAATTAGCCAGGGCACACGTCTAGTAGGTCTGAGTGCCAAGATAGCGACGAAGTTTTTAAATTTTATGAATAATGATGTCGGGGAATTAGAAGACGCTTTGGAAAACCGAAACTCACGAAAGAGTACGTCCAGAAGCATTCTAACAGGTATTTTGTCGAGGCATTCCGAAAATTCTGAACTTGAGCCAAATATAAGATCTAAACTTTTGAGAGCGTAAAGTTCTCCGATCGATGCGGTAAGACCAGGATAAAATTGTCAAAAATCTACGATTTTCATCGACATTCCTCACCTATGATATTAATAGGTAATGAAATGATATACTCGTGAAATTAGGGACGCCTTGTACACCAGACCTTTCGAAACAACCTTTACATACATGCCTGGTTTTGCCTGATGGCCTAAGTCGGTGTATTCAGTGGTTCGGCCACTTTTACACAGGTCCCCAAAAGCTGTAACTCTGGAACTGCATCATTTCAGCTGCATCACTATTTCTTAAACTGTGTACTTCTTCTGAATTCAACTGAGCAATAGCAGCATCGATAAAGTACTCTTGGTTATCGGTCCATGTCACATTATGGGAGATACCAGCATTATACCTTTATTATCCCTCTGGGTGGTGTTGTCCTGAAACCTTTCTCCAAACTCGTTCATGCCAATTAACCTCCTCTAGGGTCTCCTCTCCTGTTTTCTCTTGGTCGAAGTGTTCTACTTTGATTGATTTTATTCCTTGAAATTTCCTTTTTAACAATTCAAACTCTTCAAGGATGCCAAATGAAAGCTGGTTTTTTTGGAGAAAAGAATACTCACGCGTAATAATGTAAGGTGAATCGAACATATGGTATGGATAACAATGCTAACTATGAAAATCATATTTACAATTAATTCGCCCAAAACAAATCTTTCCGTCAAAACACTATTTACAATTCCTTTCATTTAAAAAATATTAACACTTAGGTTTGATCAGAAAAAATTCAATTAAGTAAAAATAGATAACTAAAAAAGACCAATTTTGATGAAATGAAAATATTAAAATGATCCTAACGTACAAGCTCACGCCATTATCACGTTGTAAGATTATCGGACACACGCTTGGCTAGCGTTTAAGGGGCAGTCATCAATGAAATCCCCTTGTGGAATTTTGTGGAAGGGTGTCCTGGAACCTCTTACGCATTTGTGTACTGACCTTAAAATCTCTGAAGAAAGTAAGGGTGAAGGGTAAAAAGCAAGGGGAAAGAGAGCAGGGTGAATTATTTGTTGTGTGAAGAGATGATTGTTTTCATATTTGGCCTGCAGGAGTAGATTAGCTTTAGTGTGTCACGGTTAAAGATCTTGTCTAATGGGTGATTTTGGGAAGCATCTGTAGACGATATTTAGGAATCTTCTTGCCAGGTTGGTCTTCATGCGGTTATATCATATTACTCTTTGGCGATTTTTGTGGCGCTTTTGGGCTGGCTGTGGGTTGTATGTTAGCTTGCAGGTGTAGGCACTTTTGTCAAGGGCTTTTTGGTAAGGAGGGATGGCTGCATCAAAGACTTTTTTGCTTGGTGAAATGCTGGTTAGTCGCTTGTTCATTTTTTCCCGGAATATTCTTAAGTAGTGCAGGCGGGTGGTTGCTCTGACGATTGAAAAATCATCAAACAACGCTAATGCAAAGTCCATGGGCCAGGACCCCAAAATTTTGGAATTCTTACCGCTCTTAGAGACAAAGGCTATCATAGCCTTTTAGAAGCTTTGTTCCCTCTACTTTATTCTTATCTGATAGCCACGTCATCGGTGTATCTTTCTTGTGTAAATCACGTGATAAAATGACGTCACCGATGTAATAGAACAGTTCCTTTCCTGACTATGAGTAGTATACAGGGCTACTTCAAATAGTAACCAATCAGAGCGCGAGAAAGGCAATAGGGGTATTGTGTTTGAGGGTCACGTGACTCATTAGCATACGATACGTCATCAGTTTGTTCACGTGACCTCTCTCGACCAATCAGCGTGCAGATGTCTGGCATGCGGTAAAGAACATACGTATTCATAGGAAGACACCTAGTTGCGTGGTGGTAGGACGCATGCGCAGTTTGGCTCAATGCTTTTGCCCTGCGCAGACCGCCAAAATACTCCCCAGGTCCCCCGCATTCATGTGAGCACATTTTCGCGTAGACCTACTGCGCATGCGCAAACAATGAAAAGACGCCCCAGACCCCTCGCATCACCGGAAGTCAAAAAAAAAAACTGTATTGAGGTCAAAATCATCTTTTTGGATTTAATAGATTGTCGACAGTAGCTTGGTTACAAGCGGGACGTGTGTGAGGTCCGAGTGACGTCACGCCCTTGATGATTTAATACACATAGTAAATGTTGGGTGATTGCTTCCTGGCGGAAGAAGTCATGAGCAATGGATGAGGCCATGGAATGTAATGGTTGAACTCTAACCTTGACCATGGTTTGATTAAATGGAAACGGAAAATGGAAAAGGTGTCTGAATCGAATCAGAAGGAGGGTTGTTAGATACAAGAAGCAAACTGAATGAGATAAAGTCGATTGTTACCAGGAACGAGGCGGTGGCTTATTATCCATTGATTGACTGGAAGACAAAAAAAAATGACTTAATTACAAGCGGGACGTGTGTGACGCCCTTGAATGATTGTATACAAAAAAGTTCTATTAAAATCCAGTCTTGGGTGAAGTCGAAATGGTCTAGGATCCAGTGAGTTTTTGGGAAAAAAATAACGGTTTGGTTTGAAAAGATGTAATAAGCTGGACCATCCTTGATAATTGACGATACAAAGTTTGTGAGGGATGGGCCAGCTTTTGAAAATCATCACACGTTGGATGATCCAATGGGAATCTAATTGAATGAAAAAAATAAGAAGGAACATCCAGCAGGGGTGACGCCACCATACAGACCTCCCCCTGCCGGGTGTTCAGAATTCCCATCCTATGCTTTCCATCATAGCACAGCCCCGACAGGGTTCATAGAGGGTGGACACGTGACGTAAATAAATCCAACAGTGTTTGCATACGAAATATAATTTTCCAGTCAGATTTTGTCTGTTCCTCGTGTGATTGTTCATCACTTGGGAAGTGGCTGAAAAAGGGAAGGGAGATAAATTGCTCGTATTACGAAACGAGAATCTGAAAAAAGAAAAAACATATGTTTTTAAGAACAGGATGGGTATCCCATTCCTTGCAACATCTCGCACCAATAACATGGTACGTGTAAGTCGCTTGCACGACGAAAGTTCAAATAACAGCGACAACAGAGTAATTTGACTGGACTCGGAAACGGAAGAGGGACCCCTGATCCAGTGTACCACTGCACCATACTGCCGAGGAAACACCATGCAGCGGAGGTACCGTGAACCCTTTGGGTGCTGAGAATGGTATGCGAATCTACGAAAAAATTTAACATTGCAAGGCCATTAATAAATAAGCAATGCGGTCTCGGATCCAGCGGTTATTCTTGAGATGGGAATGCGTGCCTAAAAAGCAGTGTGATTGCAGAACTGAATGAGATGTTGAACACTATGAATATGGCATCTGTGTTGCAAGGGAATGATCCACCCATATTGTTCAATAATGGAATTTACATCTGAAAAGTTTCCTGAAGACTGATTACGCATTTGACAGTACTGTAATGACATCGCAATTGCACGGGTCTAATCCATCCTCCATATTGTTTTAAAGTGTAATGAAAGCCTACAAAGAGGTGGAAAGACGAATCAGGGTGGGAATACTGGTGTTAAAGAGACCAAATTGCAAAGGGCGCATGCATTGCGTGTGATGTCGTAAGAGGCAATGCGTGCCTGAAAAAATTAAAAAATTAATCATCTAAAAACCCTAACAGGACTAAATCCGGTTCACCCACGGGACCATGGGACCGGAGAAAAGAATTGATTCTAAACGTCATGCGTAGGGGCCAATCGTCCCAGTCCTGTTGGTTGCGGTCACCATTCTGCACATACTGTACTATTTCATTTTCCGTCAAAGATCCCTCCCTGTTACTAGAAATGATGTCATCCAATCTCAAACCGTCCATCACGCGTTCTCAATGATTGCGGACCCCGCCATGGGTAGAATGGGCTACCCACTGATAAATGTGGCACACAGGCTGATTCTCCACAAAATCCAAGGAATCTATCAAAAAAATCAACACGAACAGGTTGGGACCCTAAAACGCGCGGCCCAATTGAGTCTGGCTCGTCGAGGGCAAAGGCAAAGGTGGACAGGCCACAGGACTTGCCGTAGAAAATCGAACCTCGGGAACACCTCTATGAATTAAAAAAAAAGGGGATATGAGGAAACCCACAGCCGGGTTATGGAAAAAAAAGCGAATAGGGACTCGCCAGCCTTTCGACGGCGATGGACCTCATGATCCAAGTTCCGTGCAACGGGGTGGTCCCACGGCAGCGTTTTGGCCAAATCCCTCAGTTGTTCGTGGGTGCAACGCCGGAACAGGGCGCGCAGACAGTCGCGTCTTATTGGCAGGTGCCACAGGATCTTCAGCAAGTCGAACAACATAGCGATCGGCACGGAGTACAACACCAACGATTGCAGCGAGCTCACCATCTTGACCAGTACAACTGAACAAAGTGGAATGAACCCACATCTAATGCGCGTGGGGTTTTACAGACGTCTTGAGAGAACGTGATTGGTGGAGAGACATCACGTGGGTATACTGAACACGAGAGGAGACTCTAGGGGGTGCCCCCCATGGGTACACGTTTTTGTTCTGGACCCAAAGTCCTGGCACGAGGAGGGGATTGGTGGAAACAAGAGGATTAATAAGGGAATGTCAAGGGGAGACGTCAGTTGCCTGATTTTGACCGTGTCAGGATGAACTGCCGAGGGTTGGTCGATCCCAAGAACAAGCCATTTGGTCGAGTGTTGCCCTTGGAAGTCCAAGTAAAGATTATGTTTTGGGTCGAGTGCTTTCACACCATGGACAAGCGAAAGAAGGTGGTGCGAGAGTTGAAGGGGTTACCCAAATGCGACCTGACAGGCTTCCCACAAATACTGGGCGAGGATCGTCACTGGAACCAAGTGGTATTTCGTTTGCACGCACCCCGAGGCAACCAGTGTCACCACTGCCACCGCCTCATGGATCATCGGTTATCGGTAAGGGGAAAAAAGGGTGTTTTGGTTGTGATGGGTTGAAAAAAAAATTGCTGCTTTTTTTTCTTGGTTTCAGATTGGCATGATGGTGGAAATGGCGCGTCAACCCCCCAATCTCGACAACCTGATGAACGAGGGCATTGCGTTTGTCATTGACAAGTTCAAACATCGGATCCCCCAGTGTCCCATTGGAAAACGTCCCGTCATGATTGGAAGGAGGAAGGCCTCGTACAATACCATTGACAGTCATGAAACGCTTGGACTTGATCATGAATGTCATGTCAGCCATGAATTTTATTGTCATTGATATACAATAAGATTAAAACAAGTGATTTGTTCTATAGCAGAATTTTTTTGTTCATGTTTTAAATAAAGCTTCCAGGGTGGGATAGACCGCCTTGTCTTCTTCACGAGTGCCTACAATGGCGGTTTTGTCTTGGAGGGTGGGTAGAGCGATTGTTCCTCTGTCATGCCTTCACAGGGTTGATATTGTTGGGAGGTGGGATCCCACCAAGACCATTGTTCCATATCCAAATCAAAGACATAGAGGGCTTGCCTAATAGCTGGGCCATGACCACACTCCATCCTGTCCCACCCAACACATGCTTGCGGAACTCGTCAAAATAGCCCACCGCCAATACTAAGGATGCAGGCTGGATCACGTGATAAATACGCTGTATATACTGGAGGCTGATAGGATGATGGATTTGTCGACCTAATCGAAAAGCCGCCTGGGTGACGATGGGTGTGGCTGCGTCAAGGGCGCGAGGGACTTGGCTCGAGGGTGACAGGGTGGGATGAGGACCACACACGAATGACCATACAGGTGACATAATCATTCCACATGCGTGTCCACGCCTTTGGCACCACCCGTGTAAATGGTTAGGGGCATGATCTGTGACAAAAATTAAAAACAGTGTTTATGGTGAGACAAAGGATTCCAAACCCACATGGTATGCGGTTCATCATCGGCATACAGCAGGGGTGTTTGCCATTCCCGACAGGTGACGGTTTGTTCGAAAATGCGTCGGACCGTGCTGCATTCATTGCAATTGTGAGGGATCCAATCCAGTCCTTGACCTCGAGCGAACGCCTCGTCTTTTTCTTCCTTACAATAGTTACATAACAAATGATCCATCAATCGACCACACCGTCGTTGCCACAGCACGCGTTGGGCATTGACTTGGAAGAGGGTGGGCAGGACATTGGATTGGCGACGTAACCATCCACTCATTTGACAGACCCGTACGCGCGCGCAATGATCGTGCCAGACCCCACTCCCACGTTGCCCATCTGTATGATCCATGCACCAATTGCGGCCGTGGTCGTTGGTGGCCATGACATTGACGGTGGCGATGGTCAAGTCTCGGCAGCCCTGCCCTTCCAAGACCACCATCGGGTACGAAAACCGGGGCTCTTGGAACATTCGATACAGACCATTGAGCGTGAACACCCCGAGCCGACCCCGTTGGGGGGTGAGATACCGTTGACACCAGCGGGTGATATCGTCCTTAATCTGATGGTAGGGATGAAATTCGTGGCGATTGTAAGCCGTGCACGGTTCAAATGGCAAACCATGCACCGTCTTGGACTGACGATCGACACGAGTCTTGGCCTCCTCGGATAATTGATTGTACGACACGCCCTTCGGTAACAGGTATTTGAATAAGGCATGATGATGCCCCGTCCAATCACAAAAGGCCAGTTCTCGAATAATATACTCGTCTCGGGAAATGGCAAACCCCTGACTGTACACCAAGACACCCACTTCGTTTAATGCCATGATCGCTTACCGTGGATTGGAGAGGACTGTTACGAATGAGATGGCCTTCGAGCCACCTCTGGTTTTTATAGCGGAAGGCGTGTGCTCTGATTGGCGGACAGTCAGATCACACCACCCTAAGGCAAGGCTATCAGTACATGGGACCCGGCACCCATTTGAAAAAAAGATTGGCCCGTCGGGATCCCGGCATCAACCGGTTAGACAGGATTGCTAAAGCTCATGACATTGACTATGATAAAGCCAAGACTTTGAAAGATAAATGGGTGGCCGATCGCAAGATGATTGCCAAGATTGATCAACTCCCTGGCCGCAAAACCCTGACGGAGCGCATTGTTAGACGCATTATGAAAACCAAACTTCGATTAGGCATGTGAACAAAAAAGGCCCTTCTGTTAACACAGACATAAAAAAGGACGACATGTTGAATTACATAGACACATGTTTTTAATAAACTTTTTTTTCCTTCTACAAGTAATGGTCCATTTGCTTTAACGCATCGGCACGAAGGGTTTGTACCGTGTCCTCCTCAGGCTCGGATTCGGCCCAGTTCAATGGCAACCACGGTAGGGGAAAGGGACGGTCCAATTGCTCGTCCAACCATTGCCAATGTTGACGCCGAATCGATTCCACACGCTTCTCAGGGCTTTCCACCCCTCGACGCCCAAGGTTCGCTTTGTCTCAGCCTGCAGCTCCCGTCGCCGCACATTCAACCGTTGTTTGTAGGCCTCGTAGGTCCCCTCATCCTTCATTTTCATTTTCTGCTTCCATTTCTTTTGCATTTGCGCGTTCTTGCGTCTCACTTCACTCCGCTTCTCCTCCGACATCGAATGGTAGGGCCGCATGTCCTCCTTGGTCTTTTTGGCCTTGAATGCCTCGTACGCCCCGTTCGCCTTCAAAAACCTAGATCTAAACCGTTTGTTGTTGCCACGTGGTATAGACCACCTGATTCTCGATTCCGAAAATATTGAATATTTTCTAATGGGAGACCTTAACTGCGACATGATTGCTACTCGATATGACAATAATACATGGAAGTTAATGAGTATCACTGATATTTATGGTCTACAGCAACTTATCACTGAACCAACCAAAATAACTCCGACTTCTGCAACTTTGATTGATGTAATATATACCAATTGTCCAGTTAAAGTTGTGTGTTCGAGGGTTCGTCATATCAGTAGTAACGATCATAGCATTGTTTTTGCCTATCGAAAATTATCCGTGAATGGAATGTCTGGTGGGCACAATGCTATAACCTACAGAAACTTTCGAAAATTTAATCGAATAAATTTTCGGAACGATATTGCATCTCATTGTTGGGATCACATATACAATTCACGTGATCCCAATGAAATGTGGCTACAATGGAAATGCTCGTTTCTATCTATTGTTAACAAGCATGCTCCCTTGAGAACAATGCGTGTTCGCACGCGTAGTTCCCCATGGATTACATCTGAGCTTAAGAAACGAATGCATGATCGGGATATTCTAAAGATTAAAGCAAGTAAATCGAATGATTCAAATGCTGGTCACTTTAAAAAACAACGCAATATAGTAAATAGCGAAATCAGATTAGCCAAGCAAGCCTATGATCAAAATAGTTTTAACAAGTATACGGGCGATTCTAAAAAGACCTGGCAGACTATCAATGAACTTACTTCGCGAAAATCTGGGAAAGAATCAGTGACATCTCTGAAAGTCAATGGAGAATCAATAACAAATCCAAGTGTGCTGTCGAACCAATTTAATAATCACTTTGCTCCTATCGGCCCAGAACTTGCTAGCAATATTGATTCCTCAAATAGTGATGGTTATCAAAAGTACCTCCCTGGCACAGATAAACGGTTTCAGCTCTATCCGACCGGTACAAATAAAGTTCTCTCACTTTTGAATCGTCTAAATAAGTCAAAGGCAGCTGGCCTTGACAAGATATCTGCTAGACTCATTCGGGAATGTGCAGATCTCATTTGCATTCCTATCCGTGATATTTTTAACCAGTCAATAAGTCAAGGCATATTTCCGGATGACTGGAAATGCGCAAAGGTCACCCCACTTTATTAAACAAGGCGATCGGGACGACTTAAATAATTATCGTCCAATTTCGGTGATCTCAGTTATGGCCAAGGTCTTTGAAAGAATCGTCTATGATCAATTATATGCCTACCTAGAAGAGCACAATATAATCTGTAAATATCAATCAGGCTTTTGCGCGATTCATTCAACTGTCACGGCTCTCCTTGAGGCCACGGACACTTGGGCGTACAATATTGACCGCGGTAAAATCAACGTCGTTGTTTTTCTTAGATCTCAAAAAGGCTTTCGACACATTTGACCATGAGATCCTTTTTTCAAAATTAAGCAATTACGGCATATATGGTAACGCGCACCAATGGTTTAAGTCATATTTAGAGAATCGTACTCAAATGTGCTCCATCAACGGTCGCTCTCTCAAAGCTGTTTATTAAGTTGTGGTGTTCCCCAGGGCACGATTTTAGGTCCATTACTATTTCTGTTATACATCAACGATCTTCCAAACTGTCTTTCAAATTGAGCCGAGGATGTACGCCGATGACACCCACCTTACATACGCGGGTAATAATGCAGACAATATTCAGTTGCATCTAAATCAAGATTTAGAAAATGTTCACAATTGGCTGAGAGCAAACAAACTTACTCTAAATATGACTAAAACCGAATTTATGCTTATCGGATCTAGGCAGAGGCTAAGTACTCTCAGAGTCCCCGACATTTGCAATTAATGATTTTCAAGTTAGCCAGGTCACTACTGCAAAATCACTTGGAGTGACCATCGATGACAGACTTGATTGGAGTGGCCATATCAAGAAAGTAACAAAGAAAGTCGCTTCTGGTATTGGGGCCATAAAACGAATACGGCACCTTGTCCCTCAGGCGACCTTACAACTAATATATCAAGCTTTAATACAGCCACACTTGGATTATTGCAACATTGTTTGGGGAAACTGTGGGATAACCTCACCGAATAAGGTTCAAAAGCTACAAAACAGAGCAGCCCGTGTTTTGACCTACTCAAGCTATGATGTAGATGCTGGTCACCTTTTCAAACTTCTAGGGTAGAAAAACCTACAATCCCGGACAAAACTACTTGAGAATTTTTAACCCACCATGCACACTATCCAACGCAACAACACTATTTCAACAACAACTGATTTGCGGTACCAAATTCCCCTCCCCCCAGGTCAATGTTGTTTCCTACAAATGTTTAAGGATCAGGGTTGCTTCAGAACACACAACAACATTGCTTCCAAGGGGAGGGGGAAGGGAGGACGCGGTACAGCGAGAATGTTAGGAAAAATGGTCTGAGAATGTGACATTTTCTCAACAGTTTTGTCCAAGATTGTGTGTACGGTGTTTTGCGTTTTCCAGCACGAAAATTAGGAATGACCAAACGAAATGGTATTAATAAAAAACACTTTACAGAGGCTGTTTTGCACACGAAGTTTTACACCACATGATCTTCTCATAGAAAAGTACGAGCTCTTTTCGCGTTTTTTAGAGTACCCTTCGAAAACAGAAAGATTTTGCAATAGTGCTATAACGCGTGCGCATTGTTACCTTTTGTCCTGTTGTTCAAAGATGGAAGGTTTAGAAAATTCGCAAAGTATTTTATCGTTGTCAGAAGAGTTCGAAGAAGACCGGGATGGCTCTTGTCTTAGTAACCAGGAGGTAAGGAGTGTTTATCTCGTCACATACAGTCAAGCCGATATGGACAAATTTGCCAGACGGGAAGATTTTTCAAGTGCAGTAGTAGAATCTTTTTCTCAAGGACGTGCCAAAGTAAAGCACTCGGCATGTTGTTTGGAAGAACACAAGGATGGACGATTACACTTTCATCTAGCTATAAAACTAGACCGAAATCAACGTTGGATATCATCGAAAACATATCTACTTGATGTGTACGGAATAAGCGTTCACTATTCAAATCGGCATTATAATTATTATAGTGCGTGGAAGTATGTTACGAAGTCCGACGCATGCTACATCGAGAGTGAAGGACATCCCCGTCAAGATGACACGGAGCCACAGACAAGCTCTGCAAGCCGTTCGAGACGTCAAAGTCGGAAAAGAAGTCGTGGAAATACTACTAACTCGGAAATATCAAGCGCGGACGACGAGGAGGAAGATAGCGACGGGAAGTCCACCGGTACCCGGAGGAAAAAAAGGAGGAGACTTACCGCGTATGAGGTGGGAGAAATAATTGTTCAAAGAAATGTCAAAACTCTTACAGAACTTCAAGCCTTAGCATTTGAACAAAAACAAGAAGGCAAGACGGATTTGGCCGAATTTTTAGTTAACCGCAACCCAAAGGTTGTCGCCGATGTATTACAAACTGCTTGGGAGATCGAGAATGCGCCCAAGAAGTTGGCACGGTCGCGCAAAAGTCGCATGGACCTTCTAGAGGATGCTAAATCTGGCTCCTGTGTAACAGGTTGTCATGGTGAGTGGTTAACGTGTGCGCAACAAATTTTACACAACAACGGCATTTCTCTGGAATTTTTCCGCACTGCTGTGAAGGATTTACTGGTCAACGGGCGTGGAAAGTACAAGAATATTATGTTAACAGGTCCAGCAAATTGCGGGAAAACATTTTTATTGAACCCACTGACAACTATCTACGACACATTCAGCAACCCAGCAAAAGGAACCTTTGCTTGGGTTGGGGTTGACAAAGCAGAATGCATGTTCCTCAACGACTTCCGCTGGTCTCCTCAATTGATCCCATGGCATGATTTCTTGCTTCTACGAGAGGGTCAAACTGTACATCTACCCGCCCCGAAGACCCATTTCTCTAAGGACATTACTGTGAAGTCGAACACACCGATTTTTTGTACTACTAAGTATCCAATTCTCTTTCTCAAAAATCGCGTGCTAGATCAGCGAGAGACTGAGATGATGAAAGTACGGTGGAACTTGTTTGAGTTGAGTTACGTAATCCCTCGGGAATCGCAGCGCGTGATCTCATCTTGTGGGAAATGTTTCTCCGATCTGATACTAGGTTAAACTTTCAGGGTTAGACAAACTTTGTTTGTAAAAATCGGTTAACTTTTTAGGACGATACCTTACATAGATTAATATCACGATTAACAGAACATTGAAACGGTTAACACAATTTCACTGAAATAAGTGAATGACCTTCTAATTCTTTATAGAAGACGTTGTTATTCGTTGTTAATCGTTGCCAATTTTCATAGCGTCTTTCAAATGTCCTGTTAATCGTTCCAAATCATAGATCTTCTGAACAGAAAGAGGTTAGGAGGCCACTGTCGCAACATTTATTATCTCTTTGTTTCTAAATAACGAATCTATGTTGTAATTGTTTTCGGCCTAATGTAAATATGAAGCACAGGAAAATAGTGGTAGTGTTACACGTCACGCGATAATGCATGTTGTCACGTTGTTGCGCGTGACATTATAGTTTTTGCACTCGCTACAATGTCTAAAAGAAAGTAAACATTTCAATTTGTAAAGTAAACATTCGACTTTACTTAATATTTAATCCTCTGTCCATTTGATTCTTTTATCAATTGTAAGCGGTTATTCATAGACTCGATCGTCTTATCAATTTCTGCGATAGAAAAATTCTTTAAAGTTGTTGTCACACGGTCTGAAAATTCTGCGAATGTTTCATGTGTTATGTTTTGTTTCAGTGCTTGCTGCCTTAGCTTCTCTCTCATGGAATGAAATAAATTTTCAATGGGATTGACGTCCGGACTGCGGGGAGGAATCTTCAGTTGCTTTGCTTTTAAGGCGTTCAGAGCTCGGCGTACACTCCCAGAATTTTGCACGGGGTCATTATCTTGTACAAAAATACGTCGGCCTTTTTTCCCTGCTTTCCGAAACATCTCAGGAAACTTCTCCCTTACAAATGCAGCAAAGGTTGGCCCGTCGAAGTATTCGTACGGATGACACATTAACACTCCCTTTCCGTAGCTTATGGCAACCATTAACTTCAGTACCTTTGCCCCACTCCCCTCTTTTGAACCTTTCGCGGTACAACCTAGGCTCAGTTTTTCGCACTTCTTTCGCCATATACGCCCCTTAGGTGCTCTCGCTTGATCTGCGGGATTGCGTTTATAAAACAGACTTACACCATCGAGGTAAAAAGCGACTTTCGAAATCCACACATCCGTAGAATAGTTGCCCTGTACTTGTTTTGCGAATATCCTGCGTTTCCTCTGATCGTTTTTAGTCATCAGGCCCTTTTTGCGTGCTTGTAGATAGTAATAGCCGTTTTCGTCCAAACATCGCCGTACAGTTCGATCGCTTACCTTCTTCTTACTCAACCCGGCTCTCTGCATTAACCTTTTAGCGCAAAAATTTCCTTCCTCTTCCCTTAAAACAGTAATACACCGCAGTAGATGTCTTTCATCTCGCGTAGTCAGTTTTTTCGGGCGCCCACCTGGATGTTTTACAGGCGTTCGTGTACAATGTTTCCGCCCTCCTATCTTTGTTTCCTTCAACCTATAGATGGTAGCCGCAGAAACTCCTGTTTTGCTGATAATATCCTTAACGGAGACATTCTTATCATGTACTAAATATGCAATGTATGCCCGTTCCTCGGCGCTTAAAGCGCGCGTGAAAACCATGGTCAGCCAAAAAATTCAAGAGCCTTCACGACTGAGGATTTGAATACAATGCAACGTACAAAAGACGTTTTTAGTGATTAACTTCTGTGCAGTCACTAATTTCTCATCAATTATCTAATTAACTGTAAAATGTACCTAATATATAAAAGAGAGGCTTATATAACCACGCTACATGCGTCAAATCCACAACTTCAGTGAAACACAATCCCGGACAAAACTACTTGAGAATTTTTAACCCACCATGCACACTATCCAACGCAACAACACTATTTCAACAACAACTGATTTGCGGTACCAAATTCCCCTCCCCCCAGGCAAATGTTGTTTCCTACAAATGTCTAAGGATCAGGGTTGCTTTAGAACACACAACAACATTGCTCCCAAGGGGAGGGGGAAGGGGGCACGCAGTATAGCGAGAATGTTAGCAAAAATGGTCTGGGAATGTGACATTTTCTCAACAGTTTTGTCCAAGATTGTAGCTTGCCAGCAACAATTTCAAAGAGCTACGATGGTTTACAGGTCTCTGCACGAGTAGGCTCCAAACTATCTTAGTTCTAAATTTGAAAGGCGAGAAGTCGCATATAACCTAAGGGACTCTGAAAATAAACTCAATGTTCCATTACCGCGCACAAACTATTACAAAAACAGCTTCAGCTATAGTGGCGCTATTCTCTGGAACAGTCTTCCTTGTAATCAGAATTTAAGAAACGTTATGATGTTAAAATGGGGAGATATGTTAAGAAGCATATTTATAGAGAAGGTGTTACCGATGTTTTCAAAACGATTGGTAGAAAGTTGTTTGGAAAGACCATGAAGGAAGCTGCTAAAACAGCGACCAAGAAGGCTGTTAAAAAAGCTGCTACCAAAACTGGTGAATATGCGGGCGAAACAGCCGGTGATAAAATTGTTCAATTATTAATCAAAAAGAATAAAAACACAAAAACACCAGCAGCGACAACACCAACAAAAAATCCACAAAAGGAACTCACCGATTACGAAATTAATGAACGAGTAAATCAATTATTATCCGGGGGTCAGATGAGAAAGTTTATCCTAAGTATGTTGAACGATATGAAGATGTTATTTTTGACCTAGAAACAGCACTAAATACAACTGTCGCCAATAATGCACACCAAAAGAAAGATGGCTACGGATTTGTTGTTGATAACAGCGGAGAGGTTACACCATTCGACTGGTATCATGCTCGAATCAGTCTTGATTTTAAAGAAGTCTTGCTGGCTAATGGAGGTAACCTTGCACTAGTAGATCATAATGGAAATGTAAACGGGTCGTATTCACTATTGAAACATTTTGATATTAAGCTAAGTGGTAAGAAAGTGTATGATTCAATGACGCGAATCACGCGGTAAAT